TCTCTTCTTTCTTATGCACTTCTTGTTACTGTGCACTATTTTATTTTATATTTGTATCATGTTCGAATAGGCCTGAGCATGCAACAAATGTTCTCTCTTATCTCATCTCATGCCAGTAAGTTGCCGGCTGTCATTACAAAGTACCAGAACCTGCTAACAAACCAACACTATATCCAGGCAGTCATTACAGAAAGGCTTTGGCTGCTTTTCATTTGGCACTGCAGGCGGATTCTTAAATATACCCAAGAAACCAAATTAATACTTAGTTGTTTTATTCAGTTGGTAATAAATATTTAAACTAAAGCATAAAAATGTAAAAAAAAAATAAATAAAAAAAAGTGTGGCTTTTTATGGTGAAATTTGTGCTAAAATAATTTCAAGGTTAATGGTTTCTTAAGTGGTACCCATGGTTCTTTTGGATACTCAGCAGAATTTTATTTGGGACCTCATTAGTATATGATCCATTCCTAAATCATTCTGTGCTCTGCATTTAACACGCATCTCAAAGTTGTGAGTCAACAATGAATTAAATTGGACAATGTTTTTATTATTATTATTATTATTAATAATAATTACTTTGAAAAGCCTTGATTTATTTGCGTTGTAGACTAAAGCCTTTGTATACGTTGTCCCTGCCTCCTTGTCCACCATGTCACACGCAACAGGCTAAACAGATTCCATGTACTTCTCTGTACGGTGTATTGATTTCTTCACTGTCAGATCAAAGTGCCAGATTAAAAGTTTGTTTTGCTTTTTTTTCCTTTTGAGAGAACCACAGCAGTAAAATCCACTATAGAAACTCCTACAACAGAGAGTATGGAAAAAGCAAACAGGGGAAAGATCAAGGCTAATTCTGAGCTCTGTGCAGAAATCCACAGGTGCTCTTGTGTAGAACTGCTTCAGTAAGTTTGTCGCAGTTAGTAAAGTGTCTGCTTTGAAGTATTACATGAAAAAAAAAATCATGTGACATATGAAAACAATGCCATTTTTTATTTGCTTTTTCAGCCTGTTGTGATGAAGTTATATCTTCTTTCACTCAAATCAGCTTGTTCAAATAAAACTCCTTCAACGCTTGGAGAAACTTCACCTCTCACAAATGCCAGAGATGAATTTATGATACTTGGAAAACTGGAAAAGGGAATCTTAGATTTATGCCAGACTTCACAGATTTATGTTCACCTCTTTTTTTTTTATCTTTCTTTAGCTTCTTGCTCATGCAGGCACATGCACGCATGCATGGGCTGTTGTCGGTAGCATTTCCTGCTGTTTTTCACTAGGCAAACATACGACTCCATAATATGTCTGAGTAGACCAACAATGCAGCAAGATTCTGAATAATTTCACAGTAAAACGACATGAAAGACTAATGAAGCCAAAACTGGCCACAGACTCTCAAGCTGACCCACTTGTTGTTTTTCTCACTATTTGTACAAACTGGCCTACATTACGCCATCGCCAACTTGTATTTAGTTCAGGTCAATTTATCCGTTCAATCTCCTTCAACCCAGCTGAGCCCAAACACCCTCACTGATGTGACAATAAATAGTAGCTGGGAGAAAGTAAAAAAATAAATAAAGTTTAAAAAAAGCAGCAGATATCATAAATATGCAAATATTGCAGTGCTTTTGACCACACTTTTATGTAACATCAAGAATGAAAGTATTCTTCAGTTTTATTACACAAAATATCAGTTCGTACAGGTATAGCATAAAATGTGTGTTTAAAACTACAAAAGCCCAGATGAAAGTTAAAGTAAACTTAAGACATTTGTTGGAGCTACAGAGCTTCTATTTACACCATAAATACATCACATTATGACCATAATTAAAACAGCAAAATTAGCTTCACATATTAAAGATTTATATGGCATCTTTATGTACACATAAGGAAAGAAAAGCGGGTTTTATATGATCATTTACAAGTATACAGTAAACAGGTGGTTCTGTATACAGGCTCATGAGAATTATTGCCGAGCTTGCAAAATGTACAGGACAACAGTAAACACTATTTGCGCAGACGGGGCTGCATCTCTAAGCAGAAGAGCATGTAAACATTTGGTTACAAATTACAAAGATCTGCGACCGATTTGTGATGCTCTGGGGGGGCTAAAACTTTTAAATTCCAAATACTTCGGACAGCAGCACCAACATGTAACCAGTGAAAGAAAACAGCAAGAAAAAAAAAACCATGTGACTCTATCAATAGACAACAGCTCAAGCATTTTTTGAGGCTGCAGTCATGAGAGGAACCCCTCTGCATTATTGTGCAAGTGTGAATATTCACTAAGAGTTCCTGTCAACAGTATAGCTGATGCTGCTGCATATATTCTTCTGCCAGAAAGCCGCTTCAGTTAAAAAGCGGCAGCAGTCCGTGTCACACGCAGCAGAATGTGTGCTCACTTTGTCAAAAACTAACCCAGACGTTGCCTTAAACAGCCGTAACTTGAACACATGCGGTTGCTGCACAACTGCTGTGTGCTTCAAAAAAAAAAAAAAAAAGGTGCAGAGTCACTGTTTTACACCCGAAATAGGGTTTAACCAATACTCCTTCAGGAAGTACTGCTTCTCTTTCTGGTCTTGGGCCTCCTCTTGAGAATCTCCTCCTCTTGGTCACTTTCACAATCCCTCTGATTCAAATAAAAAGGAAGAAAAAAAAAAAAGTTGCTTGCGTCATTGATATTGTGACAGCAGCAGAGTGTAGAAATAAAAAATATGATCTTTTTAAAGTAAAATCCAGAGCTACAACCTGAACTATTGTATTCTACACAATGTTTCTGCATTACTGCTGCACATATATGCACATTTGAACCACAAAAAATACGTGGAATGTCCTAAGGTTTTTCCGAAGAAACATCTATAGTACATCTATAGGCACGTATATACTCGGATATAGACTAGTAAAGATGCATGTAAAGGAAGGAATTTCACCATCTGCCCCTAAGCATAACAAAATCTATCAAAGTACGTCTAATGTATCTGAAAAATATATTTTTCAAAAGTAAACTTTTCACAATTAAACAAATGTACAAAAGCTGTTGGGTATTTTTTTTATCCACTCCAGTTTAGTACCATTTCTCCAAATACAAATTCTTGCTCAAATATTTGTTTGTTTATATCTAATTATATACAAGCCACGTTTATCGGCAAGTGCCGATTTTTTGAGGAGGCAAGATAAATATGTTTGCTGCTTTAGTTTAAACCAAACACGTATTATCCAGAGTAGAATTTTTTTGTTTGTTTGTTTAGTGTGAGATTCCACATCTTTATCACTACTGCAGACAAATTTGTCCTTGCCTAAATACAAAATCATAATTATGGATTGCTGATGTTAAATTAAAAGGGAAGGTGCTTCTAGACACATGTACGCAAGGTTAGGTAAACCACGCAACTCTGCTTCCGGTCTCTGTCAGAAGCAAAGCCCTTGCGGACGACTGGCTGTGAAATAGCAGCTCATATATGAGAGCAGCAGCAGTCTAAACTTGCATCAGCAAAGTCTGGAGGCAGTTGTCCTAAATTATTCCACCGCTGCAACTGCTGAATCCTGGCAACGTTCTCCTCACCTGATCCTCTGCAGGCAGCTTCTGACCCTTCTTCATGATCCTCGTTAAGTGGTTGCACAAAGCCACGATTCGAAAGGACAACTGAAAACGTCATAGAAAAAAAAAAACAAAAAAGATGTGCAATCACAAAATTAACCAAGTGCAACATTTTCCACAGATGATCTGAGTTGAATCCACATCCTGCAATTTACCTTCCAGCGTCGTCTTGCATACTGCTTTTTAAAGTTCTCCAAGTTGACCACTGAGAGCCTCTTCACCATCGCCTGCCTGGAGTTAAGAGGCTAAGGACACACAACATGGGATGACATGATAAAGAAAAAATATGTGAATGTTAAATGTTTTATTCTCCTAGCATCACACTGCTCAGATTTTGACAACAAGCCTAAGACAGGTCAAGGTTCTTGCTAAAATTGCAGTTTAAAAAGTGAGTTAATAGTAACAAAAAAAAAAAAAAATCATTTTATTTCACAGTTAGAAAAAAGAAGACACAAAATGTGAGAAAAAAAAAAGATTTATTTGGAAAAGCAAATTAAAGTAGAATTAAAGAAATGTATTTATACACCAGAGGTCTTATAATGGATGATGGTTTTTTTGTCATCTTCATGAAAGAAATACAAAACGTAAACAGTTTTAACACTGAGTAAAAGTGCAAATTTAAATAAATCAAAAGCAAAAATAACATCTTTTAACAAATCTTTAAGAAACAATAACTACCATCAAGTAAAATAAATAAATAAATAAATAAAATAATAAAGAGAACATTTAAATACTAACTTTCTGACATTGCTTGAGTGCTTGATTTCGTGCTCAGTGTGAAATACTTTCATTTTTAAAGAACCAACATAATTACAAAGTTTTAAAGTATTTCAGAAACAAACTGTAAATATAGTTTCATGATCTTCAAGTAGACAGTAATTTTTAAAAATGTCTGAGTTCAACCTGGAACCATTAGGAAATTAGATAAGTTTATTTTTGGACAGGCAGCTGAGCCTGTTAGTAGTTGGTGTGGTTTAGTGCCTGATGTGAGACAGACGAGCTTAGACAAGGAGTGATAACGAACTAAACCCATCAGTGAACAGAGAGAGAAAACCAAGCTACTTCTTCAACTTTTCTTTATCATGAAAGCAAAATAAAAAAGAGACTTTTTTCACAAACATTTCCTGTATAAAATGTATAAACTAATCTTTGCACCTTCGTCTAGAACCATGGTTCTTAAACTCTAACACAAGTATCAACACCTGCATTCATTTTTCCGTCAGTGGAGATTTTGTCATCGATCATTTACAGCAGATTAACGGAGATGAACTCTGGGGTCTTTGCTTCAAACAGAAACAATTCAAAAAGAAATACGACCAGGTGCTGTTGGCTTTGTTCCATTTATACCAAACCCAACTTAACCATGTTCTAGGTATCAACTAGAGAGGCTGTGAGGTTTACCAGTTGCTAAGACCGACGTTTCCAAGCAATGTAACATGTTCACTATGTGTGTGAAAGATTTAGAGTTTTTTTTACTCCTGCTCTTCTGACTGAATATGTTGGCGCTGGTGAGAAATCCCTTTTAGACTTGTACAGTAGTTTTGACATTAGGGACCTTCTTGGTTAATTATTCTAATCTCAGTTTGGATTATGGTTAAAAAAAATTGAACATGTGATTGAGCGGCATCCTTCATCTAAACAGGCACTGCCAGAAGATAAGACAGTTCTTTCTTCTTTATTGTTTGGCGTTAAAGATGCTTTGGTCGTTTCATGCCAGACTTCTTGGGAACCATCTGGGACAGTTAGCTTAGCAATTATTCCTACTTCCCAGGGAGAAGTTTTTGCAATAATTTTAAGGTTGTTTTTTTTATATATATATATATAGTCCATTCATATTCTACCATTGGAAATGTGGTTATATGTTTAAAATCCATCAGCAGGAGCTTGCCTAAAGTTAAGTTTCACTAGACAACTGAAGATCAGAAATAAAAAGGTTTTGAAACTAATGTAAGGTGAGCTTAAGGCTTCGATAATTAATGAGCATATTGTAGAGACAAATAAGAGTATGCTTAATATAGATGGGATCTGGTCATCATGCATGCGATCAGCTCCAGAATCTGCTACACTCTAAGGAACTTCTTTCAATTAGTGAGTTTAAACAACATAAACATAAAAACATCTGAGAGGCGTTTTTTTATTATTTTTAATTGATGCTTTAGTCTGCTGAGTATGCCATGTTTTACTGCTGTTATCTTAGGTTAAAAACAACGTAAGATTTCCTGAGGTGGCACCTTATAAAATGTTTGAGGACAATTTGTCAAGAAAGAAAATTTGCAGGCATTCAGAAGCTCAGATCCAAAGAAAAAAAAAAAAAAACTTTAGCTTTTTAGTTCCCATAAGGATTTTTAAGAATAATAAAACTGACTCCGTTCCTACATTAGGCAGACTCTCATACGTGGTTTGGCCTCTGGACACAGTTCAGATCCGCAGGACTCCTGCGGCAGAGTCTGGTTTACTTCTGCACTCATACCGCCGTTCTGGATGCTCCATTAACTCCCTCAGGAGTTGACGGAGCTCCCAGTTCAGCTCCAGCCCCATGACGTCCAGATGGCTCTGCCTGATGTTCTCCAGCGTCGCATTTATCGCCTTTATGTCCTCCTGCAACTGCCTCCATTTTACAAAATTCAAAGTGAGCCTGAGAGGGAAGTTTCCTCACAGCTTCGCTCTTCTGCCCCTTGTACTAGGCCTCCTTGTCGACGTAGATGGAGAACTGCTTCCACGCAGCGTGCTGTGGGGACCCTGCACCTCCAACGGCCCCTTCTCCATGAAGCCGATGTGCCTCACCACACAAGCAAAGCACTCCACGTTAATGTACGTGTTGTTTTGAGGCAAGCTGCAGCATGACTGGATGCTGTACTCCTTCAGACGTTTGCTTTCCAGCTTTTCGGTTTTCTTCTCGGCTCCAGCCACATTGCCATCCTCCTCCGTTTGGCCGCAGGACTTAAGAAGGATTGAAGGAGGAAAGGGGGAGGGGGGGACACTGAGTGAGAGGCAGTCACACAGATCCTTCTTGAAAACACACACTGTGGTGAAAATCCCAGTAGATGAGCCACAGCGGTGATTAGTGCATGAAGATGGTAAAAACACTGCAAACATTCTTGATGAGTGCGTAATGTTTCCTGCTTTCATGCTCTGATCCAAACAGGATGGTGGGACTTTACAACAAAACAAAACAAAAAAAAAAACAAAAAAAAAACACCTTTCGCATGCATTACAGCAACCATTGTGAGTGAACTTCCTCAACGTCGCGGGCTGTTGCATTTCCTCGCCATCAAAACCTGTGATATTTTGTTTCGGTTCAGTCACATTTAGACAAAGAGACTTTTCACACACCCTCGGGGTCTATATGATGCCGTGGTGGGTGGAAGTTGTGAAGGCTGAAATAAATACCCCAGGAGGGAGTGAAGTCCAGAAACATCCACAAGCCAGCGGGTGTAAACTCCGGGACTCTGACACTGCAGTCAGTCATCTTTGAACTTTTAATGACAAATCTACTTTTCCTACGAGTAGTGACTCTGTTACCCAGACACGGCATTTGACATTAGCAACCTCCCTTGCTTCATTTTCAATAAGACATGACTAGAACAACACCAAACACGCCACAGAGCAGTCTGAGTCCACCACATACCTTAATCCACGGGTGATTCAAGGCATCTTGGATAGTCATTCGTTTTCTGAAATTGACAGAAAAAGGGCAGCTGAGTAAACGAGTCTGACACACACACACACACACGGCGAGCTAGTCTGTCATGCATTACAATTAAACTCTCTGAGGAGTTCAGTCAGATGAAAAGGCTCGCAGGAATATCTTGTTTCCTAAAGGGTTATTTAAATGAAAACAGATGTTAGAAATAAGAGGTCATGATGCCAATGAAGATAAGTATTATTTTGTCTATGATAGTTAGCTTATGTTTTAGCCATAGTTTGTTTTACTGATACTATACATAATATCATCATACACACAAAGTGCCTTACAGAACTGTGTGTACTACTTGAATTTCTTCATATTAATGTGACATTTTGAACTTATATATAAACATGTGCCATTGGAAATTAATGTGATCATTACAGGGTTACGCATGATTGGGAAGTGGAATATGAAGAATAGTTTTTTTTTGACAAATAAAAATCTGAAAAGTGTGATGTGCCATCAAATTCATTCTCACAGCATGATGCTGCCACCTATTCTCAGTGGAGAGTGCGTATGTGGGATGGTTCGCAGTTTTCTGCCCAGGTCGATTTGCATCAGACGTAGGTGGACACTGTTAATTATGTGACTAGTGAAGGCAGTTTATTGCACTGGATTTTATTTAAGGGAATCAGAGTATAGAGAATTGAAGACAAGTGCTAACCTCACTTTTCAGTTTTTGTCTTGCATGCTTTTTTTTGTTTGTTTTTTGAAAACATGGATATTTTACATGATATGGAATGTGTGGTGCATTTGTCAAACAAATACAACACTCCTGGATAAAAAGTTGTTAGTTTTTAAAAACATGATACTTGGCCTAAAGTTCACTTTCCATATGACATAACTATAAACATACAATCAGAGCAAAAATAACAATGGATTCAAAGCATATTAATGGCTCAGAATGATACTGTCAAATTCCAGAGCGCTGTTTAGCTGATCATCTGTGGCAACACTTGAACATGTGTGTTTAAATATGCTTTTCATGCAGTCTGACTGATCTTGGGTTATTTTAGAAAATAAAAGAGGACACATTTCATTTATAGAAGCTCAAAGATGGTACAGAGGTAAATACCCTGAAATACATTCTGCTGTTCCTGCAGTGAAACGTTGCTTCTTCAAAGTATTGACTCAAACAGGCTGAATATATCAATGTGCGTTGCAGTTTTTGGATTTTTAATCGTTAAACACTTTTCACGTGAAGCATTACTTTCCATGGCACAATCATGCACCACCTTGTGCCACGATAAAACACACTGAAGTTTGCAGTTGAATGTGAAATCGTTCAAATGGTATTAATGCTTTGGCAAAGCGCGGTGTGCCACAAATCTGGACTGACTGATGTTTGACAACAGATCCCCTGGTACATGTCAGATTGTCCCTCAGCTGTTTTCCATTGTTTTACCTCGTGTCCTTTTCCAGTAGCTGCCTGATGAAGCTCTTGGCCAGCTCGCTGGTGTTACTGAAAAACTCTTCATCAAAGTCATAATCCACCGCCGAGACGTTTCCCAACGTTTCCTGCTTTGTTTCACCGAGGAAAGGCGAGATGCCGCTCAAACTGAAACAACAGCACAGAGATGTTTACCCACACTGGCCAGGACCTTCTCCACATAATCCCCTCCGACGCATTGAGATACCAACTCACAGTATGTAGGTGATGACTCCGATGCTCCTGTGAAAACAGCACAAGATTAATCCAAAGTTATGCACAGCGGCTCGCTGTGTGGAAGTCAGCAGGGTCGGACGTAATTAGAGGCTCTCACCACATGTCTGCCTCCAGTCCTAGCTGCTCATAGTTGACTATCTCCGGAGCTGAAAATAGACAGAGCAAACTTTACTTTGCGGACTACAAATGGTCAGGCGACAAGCAATTTGAGTGCGAAAATATTCCAGAAGGTAAAAAAAATAAATCTCTTACCCACAAATTCAGGTGTTCCAAAAATGTTTTTGAAATCTGCCCCAGGTTTTATTTTGTGTGCCAGTCCAAAGTCTATGACTTTAATGCGCGGTAGAAGGACGCTCCTGTCCAGCAGCATTATGTTTTCAGGCTGCAGGACAAGTACAGCAAAAGCAGACAATTTTTGAACAGATTTCTTTTGTTTGTTTGTTTGTTTTGTTTTGCTGCTAAGATTGGATAATGAGTGAACAGGTAGTCAACTCAGGTTACCTGGATAAAACTGCCTTTAAGTGTATGCATTAAAGAAAAGCAGGTATTTGTGTTAGTGCAAATTACAAGACACATTTTCAAAGGTTCTTGTATCTACCAGCTCACTGCAGTTTTGCTACAGAGCTTCATTTTGTGATTTTATGCATATCATAAGAGGGACTCGTAATCATATGGAAATCTTTGAGATCGAAACATTCAAATCACAAACTGGAAGGCGGTCTGTGGGCCTCTCGAATTTGCTGCTTTTTCCACACAGGATGCCAGCAAGCGTCGGTTGAGTAACGTGATACAATTTTGGTCAGATTCTGCAAATATTTCTCAATTCAAAAGCTGTTTACTCTGTGTGGCCTGTGTAAAAAATGTTTGTATTTAGCTCTGACACATGGGGGTAGAAAAATGACTCAGAGAAGCTCCATTTCAACAAAATAAAAAGAGAAACATTTGAACCCCAGATATTTAAAACAAAACAACATCCAGTTTAATCATAATCCAATGAAGAATTAGAGAAAAATTTAGCTCAAGGAATCTTGGTTTTATTTATTTATTTATTTGTTTTGGTGGAATTATCAAAGTTTAAAGATAAACTAATTTTGTCAATCCCGGCTGTATTTGGCAGAATGAGGGAAAATGTGGAAGGTGAAAGGGCTTTTCCTGATTTCCTGAACAGAGCCTGCCAGCAGCTAGGCATCCTTTTCATCAAATACCCCTTAGCTACTGAAGCATATTGGCTAACAAGATGTATTTACAAAGAGCAAGCAGCGAATCACTGTGTTGCAAACTGAAAAGCCATTGTATGCAGCGATGCTTTTTCATTAGGGCGATACGGCTCAGAGCCTGTCAGCTGTTCCCCAAAGCAAGTTAACTGCTTCCTATTTGAATGAGCCCAAAACTATGCAAAGTCTAAGCACTGTAATGAAATATGACTTTATCCATTAAAGAGGATCAATATTGATTTGCAGCTTTTGAAAATCTATAATGCTTAGAATGGTGAACTTGTATGTGTGCATCAAATTTGGAAATGCAAAAAAAATTTTGGGGGAAAAAAATACATAACTACAAATCATCCCCTTTCCGTCTTCCAAACATAATACACTTTAACATTGTTTTATTGGAAAATGAAGGACCAGCTGGATTTGTCATGACTAATAGATTGAGGCTTAGGTTCAACGTACATTAGTACTCTCTCACTTTAAATGCAGAAAATAAAAAGAGTGAAAAGGAGAGGAAAAAAAAGGACAACAATTTTAACAAGCCTGCGTGGGCGACCTGACTCTCTGAGAGAGAAGAGATAACCTTGTGGAGTTGCTATCTGTCAGTCTAAATGCTTCGCACCCCAAAACAGGAAGGATATGTATATCAGAGTGGTGAGGCATTGCCTCAGAAACATTAAAGACATGCTGGTTGAATTTCACACAAAGTTCCCAAAGCCCTAAACCCCATAAATCTTTTAGAGGGAAAGCATTTAATCATGGGTAAAATCTAACAATGATGGAACATACCGTACCTTTAAATCGAAATGCGCAATCCCCTTCGAATGGAGGTACTGCACCCCGTCTAGTATCTGTTTAATAAACTGAGTGGCCTCCTCCTCACAGAGAGACTCTTTCTGAGCCAGGAAATCAAAGAGCTCCCCTCCGGAGACCCTGCGAACACACATGGACATGTACACACTTGCTTATTGTGGACTCAGATAATCAAGAGCAAGGGCCTCTGCACCCCCTTTATCTAAAGTGTGCTCTCAGGAGCTGGATGCACAACTCCTGGATGCCTTAGATACAGAATATATGTTTGTTGCATCAACTTGGGAGACATTGACTCTACATATGAATCACTGTTTTCCCTCTATAAACCTAATGAAAAGGCTTATGGCGGTTTATGCATAAACAGAGAACCATCTTGCAGCTAACAACCCGTTCAGTCTATCAGTCACTCAACAATAATTGGATTGGGTTATTCTCTGGTCCTAATTAGACCCTACATTTTCCCAGGCCCTCGTTGGATGCAAAGGGGAGCCTGCTGGGGCAAAGGCATTATTTTCTTTGTCAGACCATTTGGTTCTATCTCACACACATGATCCTTTCCAGCCAAAGGCTTTAAACAAACAACAGTTTCAGCAAACAGTTCATGTGAGCAGAAACACCAAAGTTCAAGGCCAGCGAGTTGCGCTGAGTTATTCAACTCAGGAATACATTTTTTAAGAGATTCCTCTGACTCTAATAAACACTTGAATACTTCCACATTCTGTCCCATGACAACATTCCCAGCATCGTTTTATTATGATTTTACATGACAGACCAACACAACACATTGCACAACTGTGAAATGTTAGGTCACCAATTTGCAAATAAGAATCTGCAAAGTGTGGCATTCAATTCAGCCCCCTTTACTCTGATACGTCTGAATGATTTTCAGTACAACGCATATCCTTCAGCAGTGACCTAATTAGAATATATAGTCCACCTGTTTGTCATTTAATCAGAGTTTGATGGAGGGACAATCTTTCTCCAGGAAAACAATTGTCATTCAGTCCTGGAATCTCGACTTAATGGGAAAGTGATTGCTGAAAGATGGCTGTCAGCAATCGTGTTTAAAGTTTGCTGCTAGCCATGTGGAGAGCAAAGCAAACATGTGGAAGAAGTTACTCTGGTCAGATGAGACCAAAATTCAGTTTCTTGCCACACATGGCAACACGCTGTACACATCACAATGAAACATGGAGGTGACACCATCATGTTGTGGGGATACGTTTTATCAACTGGGACAGGAAAGCTAGTCGGGACAATCCTGGTAGAAAACCTGCAAATGCTTGACTGAGGTGGCAGTTCACCTTTGATCAGGACAACGACCCTAAAAATACAACCAGACCTACAGTGGTTTGGATTAAATTCAAGCAGTATTAGAACGGTCAGGTCAACCTTTGGATCTAAACTTAGGATCTGAATTACACTGCTCTCCATCCAGTCATGGTATTTTGTGCAAAACCTTCACACGCAAAGCTTTGTACACCTTTATTTGCACAGCTCTGGGAGGCAAACACAAAATCCCCTTGCATATTAATTTCAGGTGCTGCTCAACACATAAAAAGCACACTAAAAAAACATAAGCTTTATCTGTGTAATGTCAAAATGTGAAAAAAAGCTGAGCATGTACATTTAAAGCTAATTTGTTTTAACCAAAAATACAGACGCGTATAAGTCACAGTGGCTGACTGAATCGTGCAGTGACTCACAGTTCGAGGATGAGCACCACTTCTGTGCGGTTCTCATACACGTCATGCAGCTCGACAATGTTTGGGTGTTGGATCTCCTGCAGGATGTCCACCTCTCTCTCAATCTCCTCTCTCTTCACGCCCCGTCTGCTGACTCGACTCTGGCGCTTCTTGATGAACTTGGCAGCGTACTCAGTGCCTGTGCTCTTCTCTTTACAGCGCCTGACAACCGCAAACTGCCCGCTGTGGAGACAAAGGGGGGGGAAAAAAAAGCAAGATTATTAATAATTAGCATGATAAATATGTCCAGTCGTTTGGTATATAAGTTTGGAGCAGGTGCCATTTTATGACTACAGGACATAGCTAAACAAATACTAAGCAGGAACCTGTGTGTCAAAAACGTCTGAAATATTCTGGTGTAGTTCATTACTTCCTGTTTCCTGATGAGACAGAGAACAATCAACCAGGCTGATTGTGTGGACAGAGTCTCTCACCTCCTACTTCATTCAACTTCCTGCCAAAGCTCTTCCTTCTGTTACAGCATCTAGTCCACTGAAAGAATCCCACAAACTCTGAATTTTTCATAACAGAGGTGCAGCTTTCAGACCATCCACAATTGGCTCATTGTGTTTTGGATGTGTTTTGCTACAGCCGCTGAATTCTTGACCCTTGATGGATGAGCTGACTGCTCCTTTTGTCTCCCCTAAACGTCTTCCTTTTGCTGTCGTGTGCATCCGACTTTTCAGTCAGAAATGGCCCACCGACATAATGAACTACACGTATGAAAACATTTTCCAACACAACATCCAGTTAACAATATATAGGAAGCCTATGACTTTGGTTTGAGGGGATTCTCAGACTAAAGTAATCCTGCTGACGCTCCTGCTGCTTCAGTCATTTCCTGCTGCTGTGGACTGACCGCCTGACTCTATATACGTCCAGACTGGGAAAACAAACCTCTGGGTTACTCACCCATTATTGTTAGGTCACGCAAAATATGAGTGGGCATGTTTATGAAAAAAATGCTTGTATCTTTTGCAAATGTTGCACACACCTAATAAGGTCATTTTTTTGTTACTGATGTTCTAAATTACATATCTGCAAAAAGCTGGAGTATCAAATTTACATACTTGTTTACACAATATTTAAGAATAAAACATTTTCTTTTGAGCAATCTTACATCAGGCAAAATAATGACAGTCACAATACTGTAATCACAGCTCATGAGTCTTCACAGTTTTTCTGTTTCCTCATGTGCTTCGTGTTATTTAATTTTTTTTTTAATGAGGCTGATAATGACTTAGCCATCAGATATTACTTAAACTGCTCCTCCACACTTGTAATTGTTCATTCTGAGTAACATGATTTTTTTACCTCATCAGACCAGCAGATTCTGCTGCCTGTGCTCTAGAAATACATTTGGAAACCCCCTTGTTGGCTGAACTTAAAGCCTCATATGTCACAGCTACACTGATGCCTATCATTTCCTATGATTTTGATATTAATAACGAACCTCCCGCGTAACAAGGGCTAGTTTTACATAACACTGTGGTTCTACTTGGAAGCAAAAGAATACTGGCTCCAGATTTACTCCATTTTGGAATAATAAACCTTGTTGTTTTGAGAGATAAATTTAAGTCCTTAATCTGTGGAAAAACGTTCCACTTTCTAGTGGTTTGCTGGTATAACAAACCACAAGAAATGACTATTTCCTGTCTGAGCTGATGGAAGTCAAGGGCTTGGTTTCCCATCACTTTTTAAATGTGTTTAGATCACGAGATGATGTGTTACTTGTTGTGTCCCTCTAACATGTCCTCTATCTGCTGCAGAGTGGGATGGGTTTGACAGGCAAGTAGGCTGAGAAGGTTTCTTACGCAGTAGCAGCTGTAGCTAAACTTTCTTGTGTACCTTTAATAAGTGCTTACACAGAGAACACTGGTGCATCTCAGAGGAAATGAATGCAAGGCAAACATTGCGGTATAAGGTTACAGCTGATTCTTTGAGTCCTCTTCAACCACAATGTTGTGTGAGAGTTGAACCAATTGGTCGCTTTATCGACACACCCAGTCCAGCTCTTACTCACTGCTGAAAAGTATCCTCTGTGAACCTCCCTCCTAGAAAATAACAAAATGCTAAACAGAATTACATAGGCACCTGACGGGAGAAGAATTGAAAGTTCACATTGTGCATGACAGAGTGAATGAAGCGTGACTGCAAACTAGACAGCTTACTAAATCCAAGATTTGAACAAGATCCACTCACGGTACTCTGGTGGCTCTTAGTGGCTAATTGCTACGTACAGCAATTAGTCACTCTGGCCATTACAATAAGTAGAATTTTCCAAAAGGATGACTTGTTCAAGCACATAGATTTTTCTTTTCAGCACAAACAAACACAGAAGTGCTCTGGGATGTGTTTCAAACATTTCCAGTGTAGAGAGAAACAGAGAGGGAGGAAAAACGATTATGCTGGGTTTCACTTAAGACTTAAGTCAAACCCAAGTTGTTCCGTCTGAAAAAGTGGAAGACCATCAGGATATGCTAAATGTTGTGTGACTAGTAACCTACCTAACCACAATTTGACATACAAGCTAATAAAAGTGTACTTTGTTGCATTTTTCAGTATTCCTTCAAAATTTTGAGGTGTTATATTGGAGTTTTTACAACGTTCCAATCAGCCACGCTGGATTATGAAGTTGAAATAGGGGCGAAACATCAGTCTTTCCCACCTGGAATTTCAATTTTACACACCCCCTTATTCCATTTTTTTTCCATCTTTACCATGTGCATATTTACCATTGAGAACTGTTTGCACATTGCCTTTTGTTAATAACACAAAACTATGTTGTAAACCGATGAATGTTTACCTCAGAATACCAAACTGAAAACATCTAAGCCCTGTTGGGTTGCTGTTTTGTAATGTTCTGGGGAATCTTTAGAGATACTGATCAAATACTCTCTCTGTATGATCTGTTCACAGACCATCTCCACCCCTGAGCCCTCCCTGAAAGGCTGACCCTGTTATTGAAGACCATCATTATGTGTGAACTGAGGAGGAGGGAAGTAGACCTAAAGAATTTCTTTTGCAAAAAAACTAGCATCAAATGGCCTGAGGGGAGAAAGTGTCACATGGCGAGCAATCCTCGGAATCTCCTCTAAGTGTAAAAGCTTGAGATGATAGATGCCATTAAAATATGAGAAAGTGGCTGAACCAGGTGTCAGTGTACTGCCTTTGTTTAAAGTCTGGTTACAAAGTGTAGAGTAACAGCAGAGAGAGGAGCGATGGTGGCGGTGCTGTTTGTCTTCGTATTTCAGCCGGTCGGTGTGGCTGAAAGTGTCACGTCGCTCCAGAGTTTCCATTCCCAACAGCTGACGGGACCATTATCCGCACACCAGGTGGAGAGAATCCTCGGACAAGCGGCGCCAACGAGATATAGAAATGTGCTTCTCAACTGAGTAACTGCTGGTTCTGCGTGACAAAGACAGTCAGAATGATAGCTGATTCACCATCCTAAACCGATCATCTTCGTCATCTGCGCACCAAATGTTGAGGTGCTCATGGGGGGAAGCACATGGATGTCCTCTAATGCGCGTGAAAACACCAAATTAGACTAAACAAACAAGATTAAGCCAATTTTAGAGCTTATTTGCTCTAAAATTGGCATCTTTTGATGTTCTACACCCTGAAAATGTTCAGAACATCTTCAGAATGATTAATCATCAGAGGAGCTTCTGCATATGAATTGACCTGTGTCAAACAGGAACTTTAGGAATTCCAGAAAGTTCACCTTGGAGTGTTTTTTTTTTTTTTTTTTTAATCAAAAGCAGCAATGTCTGTATCCCAGAGCAAACTACACACACTCTTTTCCTACTCCTCACATAAATACAAAAATACATGCCTGCTGTCTGGAGTAAAGATATATGGTGTGCAGTGTAGCTCTTTCACAGCTATATGCGAGCTCTTGTTTATTCATAACATCTGAGTCTGAAATGTGTGTTGCTGCATCACAAGCGTCATTTGTTACTTCTTCAAACTGACACTGTTTCTCTAGTTAGTTTATTTTACAGGACCTTGTCTTGTGTGACAGGACAGAAATACAGTTTCCTGTAAACATTTGTCTATCAGTTGCTTAAAAAATACATAGTTTGCATTTTATTTTATTAGTGTAACAATTGCAATTTGTGGTTTTGCATAGACAACGGCAAATAAAATAGTTATTCTTATTGTGGTATTTATCCACCGTATCACCAAACAAGTTTAGTATGCAATATGATCATGAAAAGAAAAACTCAAACATCCATATTTGTCTGAGGATGGAGTAAAGGAGAGAAAACTCACTCCAGATACTGTTTTCTGGAAAAATTCAGGGGGTTTGAAAACATAACTTTTAGCCCCCTTGCCTGGTCCGCACTAAATGTCACAGAATATATAATCAAAATAATGGAGGTTTAATTCTAGGAAAAGACATAATATTGTTATGAAAGATTGTCACTGACCAATATTTTCTTCAACAATTCTTTTATCATAAGAACAGCAAAGATTAAGAAAAAATTACTTCTATTTATTGACTTTTAGAGGAAATAAAGGGACTGTTGTGAAGTGTTGCTAATGTGGTTTAATACATTTGACTTTTTCCCAACTAAGAAATTTGTTCAGATAATATAATCTCTTACTGAATACCTCCTCAAGCGATCTCTTCTAAAGCATATAACAAAACCACATTCACAGAATGGAGGGGCTCACAGAATTAGCAAATTAGTAGAAAATGATGGGAATCAGATGCTGCAGCCTTCACAGTCACCAGATCTTGACCAAGTTATGTACTTTGGAGAAGAGGTAATGAATAACAAGCCCCACAGAGGGAGTAATGTTGTTTGGACGAATGTTTTATCCCTCAAGATGCATTCCAGAGACTTGCAAAATCGCAGCTAAGCTGTGCTGACGTTGTTCTGGCAGAAAGTGGTGACCCAACACACTATTAGGAGGTGATTTATGGATGGTCCCTACGGGTTAGCGTTTATGTCAGCTTGAATTAAAAGAGTTGGGTCTGTAACATAAAAGAATGGTATAGCCATGTGAAGAATACCGCTTGTAAAAACCAATGCCAAACCTGTCAGGATGTTGTCAAAGAGCAATGGCCAAATTCTTAGTGATGTTAGTCAGGATTTCATCATGAACAGAAAAGTTTAGACATCTTTTCTTCCTGTTTAGGCATGCAAAGAGAAAGGGTGCTCCCTTTTTTTTATGACAACAGTTTACCAAGTTTTAGTTGTCTCATCCACCCAAATTCCTGATATAACAGCACAACTAGTTTCAGACGTATAGTGACCAGTCATGGGTTTTTTTTTTGTTTTTTTTTTCCCAATATCAATGCACACCAAGTGAATCACTTACTATTTCAAAGCTCATACGGTAATCTGTGATAATGTTTTAAAGATTTAAAGAGGGTTTAATAAGATGCCAGAGAAAGTGTCAGGGTGATCAGGGTTTTATCCAGCTGTAAGAACACAGGTAAATACAACAGTGCCCCTCCCCTAAAAGTGGTGAGTTGGCTGGGAATAAAAAGGCTGCCACACTTTCACTCCCTTACAAGCAGACATGTTCAGCTTTCCAAACAAACAGTCATTCCGTGTAAAATAAAAGATCGCCACCCATCATTCTTACTAAGTTAATGCTATTTTAATGATAGAGACACACCAAAACAAAAACCTCCATAATCAGACAATCTCCAGCTGGAGCGGCTCAAACCAGTGATTGGGTGTTACTGGTTATTCAGATCAGTGATCACACTAAATTAAATGCAATCTCATAATATTGACCATTAGATATCGACGACACTGGCAATACTGAGGGACGAAGATTAAATTGTACATTTTAAATGTTAGCACTTTCATAATAGATAAAAATGAAACTGTGTGAATGTGATTTTGTTACGTAGATGACAAAACAGCGACAGTACCTCACATCTAACGACTTACACCTTCAGGCTTGGGTTTGTTCAGGGGAAAGAACACAACTGTCCTCAGTGGTAACGAAACACCATTGACGGTAGGACAGAATGATGAATTATCAACCCACTAACAACTTGCTCAACATCTCCATGGAGCAGACAACCTACTGATCTCCCCAAAGTTTACCTTTTGGTGATCTCATTCAACCTTTCCAACACCTGAGGAACAGTTACTCAAGTGGAAAGCTATGAATCACTAAATGTACGCAGTGCTGATTCATCTGTCTTGTTTGGAAAATTGTCACACCTGTGAGGTGTAAAACAGAGTTGGCGACTCGCTGTGTCTCTTTAAGTTTTCTTTTCTTTTGTTTTGTTTTCACTTTCTGTGGTTTTTCACCACAGGATTCCGGGTTCTCATGATTGTTCTTCAGAGCATGTCTCAAGATAAACTCAGAGCAGAATTTTTATGCTTCAACACAACCGATATCAGGATTTTCAAAACGCACGTCCTTTTTTTCAGCTGTTCTCAAAAGAAAACTTACTCTTGAAAAAGTGATCTATATTTATTCGATTATTTTTATTCAGTTACATGAATTTTAACAAAACTTGTAAGCTGAACTTTTTCCATATTCTGCAACATAGAGGCCACAAACTTTACTTCTTTGGGGATTGATGGGGGGTATTTTATTTTATAGACAACAAACAAAAGTAGATCATAGTAATTGTGAAGTGACAGGAAAATGAAACGCCAATGTCTCGCATGCACATGCATCTAGCTCCTCTTATCAATACTTGTTGAAACCACCTTTCTTCACCTCAGCAGAAGCAAAAGACATGGCTGGCACATTTCTACCAGTTTTGCACATTGGAGACTAAAATCCTTGTGCATTCTTCTTTGAAAAATAGATCAAGCTCAGTCATCTTGGAACATCTTTTTTTTTTTTAAGTATTGCTGCAGATTCTGAAATGGATTTAGGTCTGGGCTTTGACTTAATTATTTTCAATGGGCTATTGAAAACTGGAATTAATTATTTTTATTACTGTTGATTACATCTGCACATTACGCTTTTCATAATTTAATTTGTAAAAAAAAAAAAAAAAAAAGTATCATTCACATTCAAATTCCAAAATTCCATTCTGCTCCACAAATATCCACCACTTTTTTGTTCGTCTAAAACTGGAAACAGACTGAGGCTTGTGTTTGCCGCATAAAAAAATTGAAGGGGTAGGAGTAATTTCTTGTTTTGCTGTAAATATTATCAGCTTTCAGTTATCTGTGGAAAATTCCAGAGATAAGTGATTGGGCAGTTATTCATAAATCATTGATTGCTTTCCGCACTTATTAATGACCTAAAGATGATCTTTAAACTATACATACCATGTTGGCATATAATGGGATGCTTTGTTTGACATTCTTCTTCCTTTGGTGTAAACATACAACTGGTGCAGCCGAGACAAAGATGTTTTGGAGGAAACGGCCATGAGAAAGCGTTAGGACACAGTGTGTTTACTTGGATCCACAGCGAAAAGGTTAGAGGTCGCCATCCGTTTACATCCACTCTATCTGCTGCTGCACATGCCTAAGCCGGTAAGTACAAAATAGATATGTGGCTTCCTCAGTGAGTCTATATTGTTCTCTGAGAACTTCCTTAAATTCATTTCCCCAGGAGATAGTTAGGTTTTCTTCAAAAATATTTGTAAATGTTGTACCCAGAAATCAGCTCTGATAATAGTAGTTATAACAATAATAATTGATTATCCCAAACACATCCTGTTTGTCTGACTGTGTCTGCATGTCAGCCTTTATCTCATGCAGTAAACTCCAACCCCTTTAGTCACAGTGACGCTCCCCAGCTCAAGCTTAAACAGGCCAGCTGTGTGCATACTTTCATACGCTGCGCCGCGCAGCCCGCAGAGACCTCAACCACACACACAGAGTGACATTTAAAGAGCAGGGAGGAAATACCTTCCTCTTCACACAACTTTGAGGGATTCCTCACCTTCCCAGTTCTTCTCCAATATCATAGAAGTCCTCCACGTTCTCCTGCTTGAATACCGCCATGCCAGGTGTCCTCATTGATGTGGCGGTCTCCTGGACATGTGCTGCAGAAGCCTGTGGATCAGTCTCCCCTGGAGCAGTCTTCCTATTTATCAACTCCACAGGTTCAACCCTGTTGGTGAATAAAGGGTGTTCATGCTGGTCTCTGACTGAAGGCATAGCATTTTTTTCCACCACATGTTCCAGCTTGCTGTAGCTGCACCTACTTTCACCTTACAGCAGAAAACGCATCGATTTGACCGGCAAAGACAACGCAAAACAATAACAGCTACAAATGATCTATAACAGTGTTACCAGATGGACAAAATAGGAATGTTTAGTTCTTGTGATTATTAAAGGATTAGAGAGGAAAAGAGGATTTCTGCATAATTAGGGCAAGGCCTCTGCTGTGAAGCATTTTATCTGGCACAAACATAAACTGATTAAAATTACAAGGCCTTTCCGGGTGTTCTGATTGAAAATCTAGAGACAAACTGGAAACAAATGGTGTACCGTGGCTGTGAACAGATTGGTACAAGCAAATACGAACTGAAAAGCCACAAACTTCCTATCTAGTGAGTTTCACAAACTGCCATCAATCAAACTGAAGCTTGAAGTCGTACCTCGAGTCAGATGGAGAGAAGAGGATAAAACCTGCATCAGATCCCACGTCTCCTACAGCCGGTGCGGTCCTCTCACACAAACCTGGTCCTCTGGCTCCTCTGCTGCTCTCTGTCACCGACCCGCACGGCCCGTCAGGCTTTGTTTCTACACAAGTCCCTCCCCCCACAAACCCGTCTTTACTGATCTGTTATGAAAGTATAGCGTGCAGCAGAAAAGAGGCAGGCAATCAGCAACGATCACCGCATTTGTGCCGTTTTGTCTGACAGGGTTTTTGAGGAACTGAAAAAAAAAAAAGTTTGTATCTACACCCCGGATGCAACTAAAACCAGATGCCTATGTCAGAACTTTTTTTTATTGAATTGGTTTTACAAAAGCAAAGAGATACATAGACTTTTACAATTACCAGCTAAAACCTGACAGATTAAGACAGACTTACATATATAAAAAAAAGTTGAAGTGCCCTGTAATAGTCTGAGTTTTCTTAATGCGTTTGTGCAATACACTGCCAAAAAACATGAGAAAAAAAGAAAGAGGAAACACAGAAGCAGAGATAAGTTTTCAATGTAGCTTATTTAAACTTGCAACAGTTTGAAAGGGTTTTTCTACAGAGCAACAACTTATCTGATTACTATTTGTAAAAATGAATAAAAAAAATGTATCTAAATAATTGGGAAATGTTGATCTCATGAGAAACCAGCTCTCATAAACATGTTTGAGGACAGCAAAAAGAAAAATTCAAACATTTTTCAATGTTTTACATTTGATTTAAAACTGTAAACCAGGTCGGGTCCAGATACTGCAGCAGAGAACGGTGGCTGATCTCTGTAAACGGGTTCAAGTGAGTGAAAAGATTTAAACGACTGTAAATGATGCTTCCAAGAAACTTTCTCGTCTTCCTCACATTGGATACCATCTACCAAGATTTCACAGTTGATTAGCCAAACACACACACACACAAGTTCTAATTCCTAAACAAATGGTTGGGATATCAAGTTGTCCACAGCGATCAGCAATAAGGTCCTTCACATTCTGAAGCTACCTGAATGTGGATCAACATGCAAGAGTTTCCTCAGTTTTAAGGAAAAATGCTTCCCTTATTCATTGAGTCACAATTCAGTTTTTATAAAATCAGTACAAAGGCGGACTTTTTAAACTCTTTCAAATTATAAAATTTTTTCACCAGAGTATCTATAAAATTGAATGAAGACTTGAGAAACGTTGCACTGCCACTCGGTGGACAACAATAGCAAATACAACAGCATTTTTTCCCTGAGGTTAAGCTCAGAGTAAAGAAATGCAGAAAAAAAAATAAAAGGAAGTTTCTGCAAAGTAAGGATATTTCACTAAAAAATACAGACAAAGCTGTAAAAGTTTAAAACAATATCCAATTTTTTTTTATGTAAAAGAGGGATGCAAGCTTTTTGATGCAACTTTAAAAGAATTGCTTACGGTTTTTTAAAATAATTAGATGATACAAATATTGAACATCAATATTAATAGACTGATTAATGAGACAACACTGGCTCTCAGTCATAAACATTAATTCTACTTGCCATTTATGCAGCTGAAAACAGAAAAAATATTTTGTTTTCAGCTCATCCGTTCATTTCGTCATTTTAGATTCGAGCAAATTGCTGGAATGAGACTTTAAAAACTAAGTAACGTTTCAGCAAACTATCTCAGTTACAGCATGAATAATTCAAGTGCATCATACGATAAAAAGACAAAGAATCCTTTACAAGAAATAAAAATAAAGATTATCAATCAAACAAACAAAGGAAACAAAGCACAGAACAAAAATAGAGATTTCTTTTGTGTAAATGTGAGCACAAAAAAAGAAAAAAGGAATTCCTTCAAAAAGGTATAAAAATGCTTGAAAATACTGTTTCGGACTGCATGGTTTGGCAATATAGGAAAGTAAACTATTGGCAACGAACAACATGAACATAGACAGCAAAAATACTTTACACAGGGAAAAAAAATGGCAGGAATACTGATACAATGCGTTTTATCCTTTGATTTCAGTTCATTATTCCATTTTTGATGCAGAGACCAACTCCGACACCTAAACTGGGAAAATTAAACCCTTCAGCAGCTGTAAAGCGTCGCCGCTCCGTGGAGAAGCTCCCTTTGTCTTCATTCTTAAAGCGACACAGCCTGGAAATAAAAAAGCTCAGTTATCCTCCTCATCGTCGCTGACGAAGCTCCGTCGATCCAGACTCGTCTCCCTCTCCTTCAGGAATGTCTGTCTGATGGCCTCCAGCTCCGTCAGCTCCAGGCGAACCTTCTCTAGGTGAAAGGAGCGGCGGTTCTGGATTTGCCTCATAGGGAATGGGTTCATGTCCACGAAAGCAATGTTCATCAGCTTCCTGGAAAACAAAACAAAAAAATGACTTCTTATTAAAGTATTTTAAACCGCAGATAACATTACCCTCTTAGTTTTTGGGTGCTTCTCTAAATTGCAAGCCTGGATGTGAACTGTCTTATCTCAGCTACATGAATTTAAATCGTGTGCCTACAGCACCCCCTGCTGGTGAGCGTCACTGTTTTCCAACAATCTCACAAGCAACTGGATTTTTTTCTAATTCCCTCATGTAGAATGAAGATGAACTCTTGCAATTTGAGACAGAAGGGAAAATTGTTTATGAGATTGTGGAAAATTATACTTATTTAACATTTCAATCAATGCTGCACACTTAAAAAATACCTCTTTTTGTTGTTTGTTCATGCACAGAAAGGAGACCTGGGTTATCATTTCCTTCCTTACTGCTGCAGAAACATTGTTCTGAACAACACAAAACCTCCCTGATATCAAAGTGACCTGACCTTGAGTCCAGGATTGTGCGCGTGAAGTATCGAAGGTATTTAAAGATGGCCGTCGTGTCCTGCAGCTTTAAAAACTCTTCTTCTTGGTACTTGAAGAGGGCGAGAGCAAATCGAAATATGATCTGTAGAAGGAAAAACATATATAAAAACAAACATAACATCGTACGACTTTCTGTTTGCACCTCTCTGTGTTTAAAAAAAAAAAAAAAAAGCTGTTAAACTGTCCAAAAGCTGAAAGACGACAAACTCTCTCTATGGTGAATGCCACAAGTTTCACACAAAGTCTTCACAGACTCTCAGTAATTAAAAGGTGTTAGTCTAACTGTGATGTTTCCTTTACTCCTTTAGCAGGGCTCTACAGCGCTATGACCATGTTAAAAAAAAGTTTACGGTTTTCCTCGTCTCACCTTTGGCCCCTCGAATAGGAAGGCATCCCAGATCTTGAACAGGATGTCGCTCACCACGCTGTCCACAAACACTACCAGGAACCAGTTGAAGGTGATGAGGGAGAAATCCACTTTGTGCTGCTCAAAGTGGGCGTGAAGGCGCGGCAACTTCTCACTCATCAGGTCTTTGAACACACGCTGGTCGACCTACAGGAAGCAGACAGTCACATTTTACAGAAGTTGGAGGTCGAATCTAAGAGAGGAAACTAATCAGCCGTCAGATAAATATGAAAGCACTTAAAAAACTAAAAATATAATTAGGGCTCAAAAGATTAATCGATTATTGAAATGCTCGCCATCTGACTTAGTAACAGATTAATCGTTAACAGGAGCATACAGTCTCTAAGAAAGACCATTTGCTGAAAGAGCAGCATGCTCAGAGGAGCAATTCACCCAGAACTGTAAATATACAGCATATATTTTGCATTTGAGATGAAAAAAATAATACTTTGTCTGTACATATGTTCCACCCAAAACTCCTCAAGTGGCAGTTTTAGCTTCACCTAGGTTCAATTCGTAAAAAAAAAAAAAAAAAAAAAAAAAAAAAAAACTTCCTTTAAAACACCTTTTTTTTCCCACATATTTTGTTAAACAA